TTTTTAAATTCTTTGCGTTGGGTTTCGTATGCTCAGGTCAGATCGTCACGGGGCTGTCTCTGTTAATTCGCATACCAGTTGCAGGTCCCTTGTGGTTCCCCCTAGCTTTCTCTGCATACAGCCAAGTTTCTTTTCGTAGCTGTGAGCAATGGTGGACAGGCATGCAGAATGTGCTCACGCTTTGTGACATGCACACAATGGGGATTGTGCATACTTTATTTTACGCATGTGATAGAAAAGCCTGCAGTGTCCAGTTCTTAGACGGAAAATGTTTTGATAGTGGTAACTATAGACTGTAAAGGAAGTTCATTTTGAGTAGTATGGCTCAATCACTTGACTTTTTCTCAGAGAAGACAGTTCATGCAGCAGTGAATGTAACTGTCAGGACAACAGTTATTTTCCAATTTGTGGAGGGGACGGACTGACGTACTACTCACCTTGTCATGCTGGATGTGGTCAAATGCAGAACAGGGTACGTTTTCATTTTTTTTTTTTTTTGAGTTATGCCCCTTATCGTATCCCTTCAGTTACCTACCCATAACACCTTTCTAGGCTACTTTATGTCCAATATCTCTATCCAGCAACGCCGCGCTCATGCTACTATTGTTAGTCGTGTTATATCGTATGCTGAGGAAGGCTTTCTATTCGCAACGTTCGTGATTGTGCTGTTGTAAAGTTGACTAATTCTACCTCTCGACAGGATTTATATGTTTTCCTACTGTTTTTATTCTTAGTAGACTACACACCATTTGGAGCAATGCCGCGTATATGCTGTTAAAATCTGTTATGGTTATTTTATGACATACCTCACAGTATTAATTTTATCTATTCTTATTTGTAACTGTATCGTCAGTTTGTGTCGCATACTGATGAAGGTTTTCTAGCCGCAACGTTCATTTTGTCGGTCGTGTTTGTGCTGTTGTCAAACTGACTAATTCTCCACAACTGACATTGGCTCTCAGGTCGACCTGGTCTTAATATTAGGTACCAGGTAAAGTCCTGGGAAGTAAAAGCGGCCGGTATAATGTCAAAATTACCCATCAAGTGCCGATTGGTCTGTAAAATGTAGGTCAAATAAGCCTGAAGGTGTGGAAACACGCCATCTGGTGACCCACAGCAGTACAGTTGCGCCCAGTGTGGGTTCCGGGGTCCCATTGTAGGGAAAACAAGAATAGACACACTGCCTCCCCAGCTTGCATGTCGTAAGAGTCGACTGACTGGGGGCTTTCTTTGAAGTCGGAGTGCATCTGTTTGAGAGGCAAGGAACCAACAATCTGCATACAAGAAAGTCAGCTCTATAAAACAGATGTGCACGCAACACTTAGGTTCTGGAACAAAAGACGTCAAGTCCAGAACTTTTCGCTGGAGTTTACAGCTTGTGAACGCAAAGATGAAAGAAGAAGAAGTACAGTTGCTAGACTGTTTACAGGCAGGTCGAGAAAGAGAGGGTGGGGGAGGGGGTGATGGGTAGAAAGTCGCATCGAAGCGGAATTTTATAATTAATCTGGGCTCCAAGATCGACCCAGTCTAAACGATTTCCAACAATTGTCGATGGAAGTAAAGACGGTCGGCATGGTTTTGACACATCATCACATTGGTCGCTGCTGGCTTATTAAAAAGTGTGTTTAGTAATATAGGTCTGATGTGTCAAACCTTTGACGTGAAGAAGAAGAAGAAATATCATGCTCATCATCATCGTTGTCGTCGTCGTCATTATCATCATTATCGTCGTCGTCATCATCATCGTCGTCGTCGTCATCATCGTCGTCATCATAATCACCATCATCATCATCCTTTTCGTCGTCATTATCATCGTCATCATCATCATCATCATCATCGTCGTCGTCGTCATCATTGTCATCATCATCATCATCATCATCGTCGTCATCATTGTCATCATCACCATTGTCATCATCATCATTATCTTCGTCGTCACCATTATTGTCATCATCATCATCATAATCATCATCTGGTCATCATTATTGTCATCATCATCATAATCTTCATCATCATCATCGTCGTCATTGTTATTATCATCATCGTCATCATCATCACCATCATAGTCATCATCATCATCATCGCCGTCATTATCAACATCATCATCATCGTCGTCTCCATCATCTCGCTGTACCATTTCTACTAGTAAATCACAAAGGACTGGCACTCAGCTCCTCTATATCCTATAAGTCAGAAAAGTTAGAAATTTAGATAGCTCTAGGGTTAGCTCTGAAATGCTATAGAAAGATTCTCAGAATACCATGGACAAAGAGGAGGAGAAACACTGACATCCGAAAAGATCAGAACATCAAAGGAGATTGGCTGATAAACATCTTGTCTCGGAAGCTGAAATTTGTTAGCCATATTAAGCGTCACGGTCGAGTGGAATAAAATAGCAGAAGGCATGGTACCTAGAAGGAGGGGCAGGGGCCGACCAACACTAAGATAGGTTATAAATGAAAAAAAAATTATAACTGTATTCTATTTAACGTTTCGGTGAAATTGACCACATCAGCCACTGAGTGCCGATTTGTCTATGAAATATATAGTTTCTAGCACTGTGTGCTCAGTACGTCTTTTATTGTTACTTTTTTTTCCATTTAGATATACCAGAATTGCACATGCATTCCCGGGGGACTGGCTTATAGCGGCACCTGCGACTACTCGTGTGGGCATCTCTACCCATATGTGGCCGTGATGGGCGTCAGGTCTTTGTTTGGATCCCTGTCAATGATACCTAAAATGGTTCTTTTCATCAGGTATTGTATTGTTCGGTAGTACTATTATATACCTTTGAAGATTAAAGTTAAGAGTGCGTTAGATACTACTACATACTTCCCGTGTTTTTAGGATGAAATTTTTCGTTATTTAAAGCCCTACTCTGGCTCTTGCTAGGGGCTGCAATATAGCCTAAATATGTCCTAAAGGCTGAACGCTGTTTCTGGGACCTCTCCATGGTGATCCTCATCCACATGGTGGCACTTTGTGTCATCGTGTGTTTATCGCTTGTGTTATGTCCTGGTGGGGTAGAAAGTCAGTCAGTCAGCTTTAGAATCGAGAGGATAAACTTCATTGCACCAGGTTTTATTCAGTTTGGTTGGATCCACCTCCATAAAGTCGCATAAAGTACGAACTCTTTACCTCCAGTGACGACCCCTATAGATGTATAAAGAAAATGCAACAGTGAACCAAACGATACAGTCCGTAAAACGAACCTAAGACTTGTTGGTGTTCGAGGCAAAAAACTTGACCATTTCACAAGACAGACCTCTCACTAAAATGTATTTTCAGTTTTTGATGTCTTCCTGTTTTTAATGCCATAGAGAGAATGTTGCACAGATAGAGAAACAGATTGATGTGCAGTCGAGCATTTTACAATTAACACCAGAAAGAGTTCTATTCAATACAATATTTAAAAAAAGATAATCAGATTTGTATTTCTAGAGCCTAACGAGTACTTTAATTTTATTTTTAAACCACACACACACACACACACACACACACACACACAGCAACAACAATAACAAACAACAACCGAAATGAAATTACTACGGCGTCTCCTAAATGTACCAAGAAATGGCAGGATAAAAAAATAACGATATTGGGGCAGAAGTTGGCAAGAAGCCAGTTTTAAACTACATCAAATGGTTCGGACCAGACAGTACAGCATAGAGAGCCCTATCATTTAAACACAACCCGGGCAGACCCAGAGGTCGACCGTGCAAGCAATGGATAGATGGAATAACCGGAGATCGTAAACACCAGCATCTAGCACATACCAAGACTCGCATTCGATACCTTTTTAAAACCTGACGCTGAAACGCAGAACAGGACTAGAGGAAGAGGAGGATAAGAAGAAGAAGAAGAAGAAGAAGAAGAAGAAGAAGAAGAAGAAGAAGAAGACGAAAAGAAGAAGAAGAAGAAGAAGAAGAAGAAAAATTGTCAAAGTTCTTAACAAAAACGCTTGCATAGAAATGTCAACATCATAGTATTGCAATATTATTATTATTGTAATGATGATGAAGATGGTGATGATGATTATTATTAGACACAATCACAGTGGAAGAAAAGATGATTCTATGTGGAGACTTTAACAGCCACTCACAAAGCTGGGGGTATGACCATATAGACCAGAGAGGAGAGAAACTGGAGGAGTGGCTGGATGAGAACAGACTTGTTCTTATTAATAGGCCAACTGATCCACCAACATTCTACTCGAGGTCGTGGCACACCACTACTACCCCAGACCTAGCATTTCACTCTCCAGATCTGGAATGGAACATTAAACGAGTTGTTGGAAATCAACTAAAAGGAAGGGGGGGGGGGGGCAGTGACCATCGGCCAGTCTTCCTGAATGTAGAAAATGAGAAGGTCAGAGAAACTAGTACGCTGCCAAGGTGGAACTACAAGAAGGCTGACTGGACAATGTTCAAGCACCGTACCAGTATACTGCTTGGAAGTCTCAGCGTAGACCAGGATATAAACAAAGTAGTTAAAGTATTTAACAAATGCGTACTAAAAGCAGCAGGAGAGTCAATACCAAGAGGTGCCCGTAAGCATTATAAGCCATTCTGGAGTAATGAGCTAGAAAATTTACATAACGAAGTAGAAACATCCAGAAAGATAGCAGAGACCAGGTCAAACCAAGAACATCACAATAACTACCAGCATGCAAAAGCACAATTTGTAAGGGCAAAGCTGCAGGTTAGAAGGGAAAGCTGGCAGGAGAAAACAAGGTCGCTGAACTTTGAAAAAGACACAAGAAAGTTATGGAAGCTTGTGAAACAAATTAATGATGAGGACACAGGGTGGAACTCAAAGATCACGCTGCAGAAAGATGGAAACATGGTCACAGGAAAAGAGGCAGCCAACCTATTTGCGGACACTTTTGCTTTAGATAACGACATTTAAATCGGTTCAGAGAAAAAACACGAAATTCAAGAAAAGACACAATTTAGAAGCCAGAAAGAAATAACATCAGAGGCGCTAGAGGTGCCAATTAAACTTAATGAACTGGAGTTGGCCATTTCAAAGCTGAAAATGCGGAAGTCACCAGGAGCAGATGGTATATCAAACGAAATGATCAGAAACTTAGGAAAAGTAGCCAAAACAAAGCTTTTACAGATATTTAATGCTTGCTGGGCAACAGAGAATGTTCCACAGATTTGGAGAGAGGCAATTATGATACCCCTCATAAAGCCTGGGAAAGACAGTTCTAATGCCTCCAACTACAGACCTATCAGCCTCACAAGTTGTCTCTGTAAAACAATGGAGCGCATCACCAACCTCAGACTACAGTGGTACATTGAAAGTGAAAACATCATTACACCACAGCAGGCGGGCTTTAGAAAGTTCTACTCTACGGAAGACCAGACAACATACCTCTCCCAAGAAATAGAGGATGCTTTTCAAGATAAGAAACTGGTACTCGCGGCATGGATAGATTTAAGGAAAGCTTTTGATAAGGTTTGGAAGGAGGGGCTTTTGAAGAAACTGAGAAACTATAAAATAAATGGAAAAATGTACAATTGGATTAAAGCATATCTACATAACAGAAGAGTCCGGGTACAGATAGATGGTTTTAAAAGTAAAAACGTTCTACTGCGACAAGGCGTCCCTCAAGATGGTGTCCTGTCGCCCACACTTTACGTTTTATTCATCAACGATCTGGTTGCTGAGATACCAAATGGAATCAAAATGGCAATGTATGCCGACGACCTGGTACTGTGGTGCACCAATGAACATGCAACGATAGCCACAAAAACACTACAGCGGGCTACAAATGCACTTGAGGCATGGGCCAATAGATGGTGTGTCAGCATCAACACAGACAAATGTAGCACCACACTATTCACCCTCTCCCCAAAGCAAAAAGCCGGCACCATCAAAATAAACGGAGAGATGATAAAGAGCCCACATACCTAGGAGTCACATTTGATGACAGGTTGACATGGAGAAAACATATTAACAAGGCAGCAACCAAAGCCAGGAGGAAGACAGCAATACTAAGAAAACTAAGTGGAACCACATGGGGAGCAGATGGGAAAATACTCAATAAAGTATACAAGCAGAGCATACTTCCACACTTGGAATATGGGTCAACTGCATGGTGTTCAGCGTCTAGTACCACATTAAAGGAGTTAGACAAAGTGCAAAATCAAGCGCTCAGAGTCATCACAGGAGGAATGAAATCAACCCCCATATTAGAAATGGAGAAAGCTGGGAAAACACAAGCACTGCGAAAACGCAGAGATACAAAGTTGCAAATACAAGCTGAAAAGTTCCTCAGTATGCCAGATCACCCGATGGAAAATAGATTTAAGGACGGTTAAAAAGAAGCAGCTTTAAACACCAAGCAAAAAGAATATGTAGACAAACTCCTGACCTTCCAGAAATTGGTTGCCCACTTAAAAGTATTCCGGAACAAACCCCATGGAGAGAAAAAGGTAAACTAACGGTACAAATCCAGACAAATGTGAAAGGGATATTTGACAAGAAAGAGCAAGATAGTGTACAACGCAAAATGGCCACCCTCAGTTATATTGATGAAGAATACCCACAAGAACAATGGGTCAGAGTCTATGCAGGTGGGTCCGCAGAAAGTGCAGTTAGAAATGGTGGTGCTGGAGTGTACATCGAATTCCCAGATGGTACTAGGGATAAGTCCAGCGTACCAACCTGGAAGTACTGCCATAACTACGATGCAGAAACCCAGGCTATCAAGATAACTACAGAGAAACTGCTAAATACCAACCTTGGCTCACAGTATGTGGTAATGTTGACAGATGCTAAATCAGTACTTGAAGCACTCCAGTCTAGGAAACTACCAGAATTGCAAACACTGCTGACACAACTCAGCGTTCAGCGAAGAGTCGTAATGCAGTGGATACCGTCTCATTGTGGAGTGCCTGGAAATGAGAAAGCTGATCAACTGGCAGGGGAAGGTGCGACAAAAGAGCAGCCGGATGTACCAGTCACATACCACCAAAAGAAAAGAATCATTAAATCGATCAGGAAACCACCAGCCCCAGCACAAGACGACTATTTTATTATGGACAAACCAGAACAAGTCATTATCCTCCGCCTCAGAACAGGGCACAACCGATTACGTAACCACATGTACACAAAATTCAAGATAGGTGTATCAGCCATGTGCACCTGTGGAAATGTGCCCCAGACAGCAGAGCATGTACTCCAGGACTGCACCGATTTTGACACACTAAGGCAAACCTTTTGGCCAGAAAGAACAACAGTGGAACGTAAACTCTATGGACCACTAAATGAACTAACAACGACAGTGAAATTTATACAAGAGACAAAACTGCTGATATAGACAACTTATTTCAGGCGAACGAAAGAAGAAGAAGAAGCTTGCATAGAAATGTCAACATCTTAGTATTGCAATATTATTATTATTATTATTATTATGAAGATGGTTATTATTATTATTATTATTATTATTATTATTATTATTATTATTATTATTATTGGTGGTGGTGGTAATAGTAGTAGATGTTATGGTGGTGCTGATAGCAGTAGCAGTGAAGGGGTAGTAATTGCACTTTGTGTTGTTATAATTAGCTTCAACTCTCTTCCTAGGTGTGTCTCCCACAAGGACCGAGCGTTGGCTTTAGGATTCTCATCCTTCTTGATGTCATTATTAGGTAAAATGTTACACAATAAAAGTGTCAAGGTTCTTGTTTTGAATGTCTTTTAGCTTTTTGGCAGCAGGGGCTCCGACATAGAGAAAACGTTGGGTGAAAAAAATAATAATTGGGTGGGGTGGAGGAGCTCCTGTATAAGGGACGGAGCTGAAGCGACCTAAGCCTTGCTTAAATGTGCAAAATAGTAACTGATGAAGTAATATGCAGTATAATCAAAGTGTTAGAAAGAAAACGTCTGTAGATTGTTGCGGTTTACGTTGGTAACTACACCCATCGCAAATATTCGAAAAGGAAACAAAGTGGATGGGGTGTATCACCCACCCCTAAAAATTATTGTGAGGCGAGATGGGAGAAAAGGGGTGCCCAAGGTGCCTTAGCCACCACTCCCCCCCCCCCCACCCGGTTCCGTTTACTGAATCTTTGAGCGCATCTACCCATAAACTACTATGTCCAATTTGCTGTGCAACATGTACGGGCTTGTTTGTTGATTGCAGATCAACATATTCTTTTATGTTATGTTATGTTATCACAATCTACGTCCTTGCACATTAATTGAACTGCAAGGGCTCCGAGATCTAATTGGCCTAATAGGTTTCAGAAAGTATCACTAAAAGTAAAGGTGACCAGTGGGATATTGACCCCATCACACATCGACGGCCGATTGTTTTTTTATTGTAAAATAATGTATTTTTAATTGAGACATTTATTGCGTACATTTTCGTTTGATGTCTTTCAACTGCTTCGGTGGGTAATATACCGTTTGACCTAATCGTCAACTTTATATTTTACTATATAACTCATACATCTACCGGCAAATCCTTATATAACCTATACATTCATTACACCGTAGCGCCAGGATGCTGCGTGGACTCTAAGTATGGTGTCCGCGCTGAGTGCTAGAGGTTCAGGGTTCAGTCCCCGGTAAGGGTTGGGATTTCTAGTAATTTTTCCTTGTCTCTGGGTAATGAGATTTAACGCATGTGTGTATTGTTGCACACGTAAAAAAATCCCTTGGCAGTTGGAAATCGAAAAGAGTAGCCAAACGGCGCTGCCCGGGCAAAATTTGGAGTTAAAAATCTACCCGAAGTATTTTAGGATCATCGCCGGTACTACAGAGCCTGTGCATTGTGCTGAGCTTCTTCGGATTCAGACTTGAGTTAGAAGAAGAATGGAGCAATTATTGGGTACCACCCGTGTGCCATGATGTTGATCCGTTGTTCAAACCTCAAACACCATAGTACCATATTTGTTTTTAGAAGATTACGGGCAGATCGTGTTATCAATACCGTGCATTTGAGAGGATACTACACATAAACATATCAAAATTGAAAAAGAAATACAGATCCTTCATGTCATTTTTCTTTTCTGAAACAGGCTGGCTTTTAGGACCCATCGTCTTCGGCAATGTCATCGATGGCATCTGTACAATTTGGGACGTCACGTGTGAAGTTCAAGGCCGGTGTCTCCGGTACGATAACTCTCTCTTTAGACTGAAGATTCACGGCTTCGGTGCTGTAGGCGTGGCATGTTCCCTTGCCTGCATTGTCGTAGCCTATGTTTATGCAAGGTGGACCCGATGTCTGGACGAACCTCAGGGCGCCAAAGGTCAAATCAAAGAAACCACGGCAGCAATCATTTTGATGGGGACACTTGACGATGTGACGCAGGAACAAAATGCTCAAGATACAACTGAGAGGGGAAGAGAGAGTCCGGAAAATGTGAACTATAGAACAACGACTAATAATGTTTGATATTAAATGTTTCAGATTTTAAATATTGTTGGCTTAGTAATATTGTATGTAACTTGCCCGTGTAGAAAGTAATACGATTTGGACGGAACATCTCTGTTTCATTAATGGCAATGCATATCTTCGTTTGAAACCACCCCCACCACTTCTACTACTATTGCTGCTACTACTACTACTACTACTACTACTACTACTACTACTACTACTACTACTACTACTACTACTACTACTACTACTACTACTACTACTACTACTACTACTGCTGCTACTACTATTACTAATACTACTACTACTACTACTACTACTACTACTACTACTACTGCTGCTGCTACTACTATTACTACCACCAATGCCACTACTACTACTACTACTATTACTACTACTACTACTAATACTACTACTACTACTACTGCTGCTGCTGCTGCTACTACTATTACTACCACCAATGCTACTACTACTACTACTACTACTACTACTACTACTACTACTACTACTACTACTACTACTACTACTAATACTAATACTACTACTACTACTACGACTACTACTGCTGCTTCTTCTTCTTCTTCTTCTTTGCTTCCTCCCTAATTTTTCTCGTATTTTTTGTCTCCTCCTAATTCTTCTGATCTTTCATCACTCCCTCCTCCTTTGTTTCCCCTTCTCTTTTCAGTTCCCAAATGGAAGACATATTATCAGCTATCTCACGGCTATACATTACCAGATATTCATAGTCCTTTGCATTCTTTAAGAAACACTTCTCTGATAAGGTTGCCAGTTTCATTGTAAAACCTTCTTAGTGTGGCTTACGACATGCTTGATAAGTTACGGTTTTACTATTATTTACTTCCTGTGTGGATACCAACAATGTGTTCCCGGGTTCCATTGTGGGGGGGGGGGGGGAATAGAGCCAACTTATAAGCATGTCGTAAGATTAACTAACTGTCGGCCTACTTCAAAGCGGACTGCCTCTTCTTGAGAGGCAAGGAACCAAGAATCTGCATACAGATAAACCAGATAAGTAAAATGGATGAGCACGCAACATCCAGGTTCTGGAACAAGACTAAACAGCAGGTGGACGAGCAACCAGAACTTTGCTGCCGGAGTTAACAGCCGGTGAACGCGAAGAAAGAGTATCCCGGTAACATATCAGTCAAGATCGCAGAAACGGGATCCTACAAGAGAATGCTAAGAATTTCTTTGCACAATAATATCATCCTCATCATGTAGCAGGTCCTATGCAGAACGTCGCTCTTATCACGGTCTGCCTGAAAGAAACTCGGTCTCTTGCCAGATCTTCCGCCTCATGTACTTTCAAACTCAAGGAGTCACTTATATCCTGTGCCCATCTTCGTGTTGGTCGGCCCCTGCCCCTCCTTCCTGGTACCTTGCCTTCTGCTATAATTTTTTCCAATCTATCATGGCGCTTGACATGACCAAAATATTTTAGCTTCCGAGACAGGATGCTGTTTATCTTCCTTGATGTACGGATCTTTCAAGATGTCAGTATTTCTCCTCTACTTTGTCCAAGATATTCTGAGAATCTTTCTCTAGCATTTCAACTCAAAACCCCTATTTTCTTTCTTACGGACTAGAACAATAAAATACGTAATCTAAATGTTTCGAAGAGATCAGAGGTGGCTTAATGGCTTGATGTTTGTCAACCCGAAACTCTTGGATTCGAAACTGTAACGTAGCTTATAAGTTTTTTTTTTTTTTTTTAAATAGACACTGTCTCCCACGTCAACTCAGATCTAAAATGGGTAACAGCTTATGTCATGGGACAACATCCCCCCCCCCCCCCAAAAAAAAAAAAAACACACACACACAAAAAGAGGATGGCTGCTGGTTCTGCAACGCTCTGTGAAGGAAACTCAACTAACCACATTTTTTGAAATATCATAGGAAGTAAAGTCTTTGAGCTGAAATGCTAAAGAAATATTACCAAAATGCCACAAAGAAGAGAATTAATACTGACGTTTTCAAAAATCTGAAATTTATTGGAGACTGGCTAATAAACAACCTCTTGTCTTGGAAGCTGAAATATGTTGGTCATACCAAGCGCCATGGCGGATTGGAAGAAAAAAATAATAGCAGCAGGCAGGGTACCAGGGAGGAGAAGCAGGGGTCGACCAACACGAAAATGGACACGGAATATAAGTGACTCCTTGAATATGAAAGTACACTAGGCGGGAGAGCTGGCTAGAGACCGAGTTTCTTTATGGCAGACCGCGATGAGAGCGACGTTCTGCAAAGGACCTTCTGGGTGGTGATGATGATGGAAAGGAAAGCAAACGATGTGAGGTTGATAACATTACCCATTGACACCATGTATATTATATCCCCTGGGTCATCCTGTATATTATCTCCCCAAGGGTCGCCAAAGACCATCGGAAAACATATATACACTGAATTTATGAAGAAGTAATGAAAGTAATTATGTGTCTGGGAGTCGCCACGACACGTGGAACTGAAATAATGGGTTTCGGCACGGGAAAGGTTGAGAACCACTGATCTTGATGAAAAGTTTCACACTCATGTGCAGGTTCCATGCAAAAATGAAATAAGAGAAAATTTGACAATGTCAGTGATACTTGATATAAAAACAAATACTTTAAAAAGAGAGTATCTTCAAAAACATATTGAATCCCTAACAATTATTTTACCCATGGATAGACAATCTAGATGCAGAATTAGTAATTTGACAATCTGGAGAGAATTGGAGGCTAAGATTGAGGTAACCTACAAATTCATAAAATTGAGATTTTCCCACAGACGCGCGCCTGTCAGGTTTTGCCTGCCAAACACCGACATTTTCCAAAAGTTAAAATGTTTGTCTCAGACCATCATTTCACACATGAATAGATAGATACTCCAGAGGAGTAGTAGGGCTTTTTGGAACACATTGGTGGCAGAAAAGGAGATAGGCAAACAAGAGGAAGTAACACATTTTATTAGGAAATTTATCCAAAAGCGTTTGGTGACCTACCCCTTTACATTGAATCCCAAACAATTATTATTATAATACACATGAATAGACAGTCTAGATGTAAAATCGGTAATCTATATTTTGGAGCAAACTTGAGGCATACATGAGGGTCTCCTAAAAATGCACAAGTTTGTATTTTTCCACAAGCGCGTGCCTGTCGGGTTTTGCCAGCGAAAACCCGACATTGTCTAAAATTTAAGTTTTGTCAGATTATGATTTCACACTTCAGCAGTTACTCCAGAGGAGTAGTTATGTATTCTGGATTAAATAGGTCGCAGAAAAAGAAATAGGTAAGGGAGGAAACAGATTTCACTAAGATATTACCCTAACAAATTTTGGTTTCCTACCACTTCACTTTGACCACCAGTTTTGTACACATTATTAGATACTCTAGATGTAGGATAGGTAATCTAGATGTGTAATTTGGTCGAGCAAACTCGACCAGCAAACGCGGTAGCCTAAAAATGCCCAAATTTGAGATTTGTCCACAGAAGCTCGCCTGTCGGGTTTTGCCAGCCCAAAACTGACATTTTTTAAAAGCTAAACATTTTTTCTCAATTTATCAATTCACACTTCAACATATACTCTGGCGTAGGGCATTTTTTAGCACACTGGTGGCAGAAAAAGAGATAGGCAAATAAGGCAAATATTTACTCTGAAATTTCCCCAACTTTTGGCGCTTTACCACTTCACACTGAGTCCCAGACAATTATTTTACATATGAATAGACACTGTAGATATAGAATATGAAATCTAGATGTGTAATCTGACATTTATGAGCAAAAATTAAGATAACCTGAAAATGCTCAAAATTGAGAAAATCTGACCCAGATTAACTTTTGACAACGTCCGACGAAAATCTGACCCCTTGAACTTCAGAATGATTATGAGCCATGCTATACAGTCATCCACGCAGCCAGGCCGCCAGAACCGCGACATGTAACACTACTGAGCTCTAGAAAATAAGTTGGTCTGACCGACAGTTTTACATATTTACCTTTTCCGACTAACTACTGTTTATACCGTGCAGATTATCTGGCATCAGAGGCACCTCCCAACCTCCCTACCTAAACAAAGCTGTCAGTACTCGAGAGATAGAGATAGTGTTATGTTATCACAATCGACGTCACTGCACATTGGACATTCCTATGCATGTGCAGTCCTCTGATGCAGCAGCCACTTCAAAGTACTTCTATTAATTTTTCTTATGAGAAGCTGGTTATATTGACTCCTATCTCGACCTCGAAGACAGCATAGACGTGCTTCACCATGCTGTACTCATATGTCACGCAATCGGGTTAGTGTCAGGGATTCCTCATTATCCATTAGCCCAGTCCGTACAGCGTTGACGATATCTGCTCTGTCCATGCTTCTTCCCATATGCCTTAGTGCAATGCTTACCAGTTAGTCCGCCCGCTCATTTCCCTTTACGCCGGCATGACCAGCTATGTAGATCCAGGTGGGGGAGTTTAAGTGCGATTTTCAAATGCTTTCTACTCAATCAGAGCGCATACCGCCTGTGTGGCGGTTTGCTCGGATACCCATGCTAATGCTCTAGAAGCAACTACAACCTTCATGGTCATGCTTGACGTGGTTGTCTGGCAGCGCCGCTGTCCTCTTTGCGCTCTGTATGCTCATGCTGACCTTGATCCGCGCTTCACAGATCCATCTGTGTAGATGATGGTATCTTCTGGGTCTGAATGCTGATCTATCAGTTCCCTTACCTCTGTGTCTATGCCTGTATATTCCGAGTGTGATGACGACAATAGAGATGCCATGCATGTCTAATGGTGCATTCGTCCATTCCTTTCCGTGACTGATCTCGTCTAGGTCACATACCTGCTGGGTTAAATCTTCAGCCTTTGTCATCCAAGATCGGCCTCTTTTGAGACGCGTCCTTTTGTGTAGTGTATAGCTTTGTGCAGTGGGTGGTTTGACGTCTGCCGATACCCTCATGTACGCCTTGACCTGTGCAACTTTGTATTTGTTACGGTTAGCCATCTTTCAAAAACCCAGGACATAACACACGCGTTGCAGGAAGTGGCTTTTGTGCAGCCAAGTATGAGTCTCATGGCCTCACTTTGTACTCGGTCAAGTCTTTCTAGCTGGGTTTTGCTGACACCGAGGAGGCCAAGACCATAGTCAATGACACATAAAGCAAACCCTTGGTAGAAAATAGTGCGCGCGCGCGCGTGTGTGTGTGTGTGAGAGAGAGAGAGAGAGAGAGAGAGAGAGAGAGAGAGAGAGAGAGAGAGAGAGAGAGAGAAGGAGAGAGAGAATGTGTGTTTTAGCGCACCCTTTCGAGGGGTTCCCAGGGCAGTTGCTCTACCTGCCACACCGTAGTTACGCCACTGGCTCGGCCATCTAGTGAGAATGCAGCCAGACCAAACTGCAAATGAGACTTTTTTTGACAGCAAAACGTCCCTGAGGAAGGCCAAGTCAGCGATGAATTTGGTGGTTTTACCTGCGGTAAAAAAAAAAAAAAAGTTTAATAAATTCATCATCCTAACCACCCGAGGAGAGAAGACAAAATATGAACAGGCAATAAAAAGAAAAAAAAAAAGTTGCATCGACCGGGAATCGAACCCGGGTCACCCGCGTGGCAGGCGAGTATTCTACCACTAGACCACCGATGCTGACGGAACAAAAGGTTGAATAATAGTATATAAATAGTTCGCATATATATAGTTCATCAGTATAATTTTTTTTTTTTTGGTGAAGTTGAGATTGTCGTTGAAATTCAGCATGACAAGATTGTTATGAAATGAACTGATGATACAGTCAGTCTCTAAACATTGTGAGATATTTTATACCAAGTTCTACGTTTTCTAACCCAAGCAAATGCAGAGCTGGTTAGTGCGGTTCTTAGTGTTAATTTAAGAATTGTTTCGGGCAGCAATAACTATTCTACATTTTGCAAGAGCAGAATAACATACAAAATAGTCTATGCACGGAACGAAAATTGTGATTGAGTTGTAGCTTCCTCTGAATGTAGATTTAAATTTGTCGCTGAGATAATAATATTATTATATATAGAGCACAGCTCTCACAACATGGATAATGGATATGACTAGGCTAATGTTATAAATCAGACTTTAGGTGTTTATTTAGTGAGAGGGTCACTAAAGACTAAAGGTAATATTTACGAATTTCATGTTCAATAATACTCATAATATTATGAATGAGTCATACACTCCAAGTTTAGTTCGTTCATTCTTATATACACTTATAGTACACAACTTATGTATGATGATGATGATGTTTTGGTGTACCGTCCACAAGGTAGAGACCGGGAGCAGGTTGTTGAAAGTAAGGGCATTCAGACAGAAATTGACCGCATAAGGCTCATAAGCAGGTGGTGCGATAAAGAAAGCGTGAGCGGTCGCCAGTGTTGTTTACTGTTACCGTAAACAAATGCGACATGGTTTTCGCTGACTAACCATATTTAAAAAACAAAAAACGATATTGTAACACATTAAGTCGGAGATCAGGAAAATAACTCGTTCATTCCGTGCATGAAGTATTTAGGAGTTTTTGTTGATCGTCCTACTTTTTATTTTATGACTTTTCTGAACATGTTAACCACGTGATAATCATAAGGAAGGCAGAGCGCGGTTTCACTGCACAAAGATGACTGTGACAGACTCATCAGACTGCAAGGAGCCTCAACTATTTTTCCTATATCAGCGTCTCATCTTGTCTGTAATTAAGTACGCTCTAGCGATACTGACTCTTAGCCATACACAGGTAGAAAGACTAGATTGGATATAGAATGAGGTCATGTGCATCATACTTGGATGCACAAAAAAATAGAGCATGCAGGGTGATGTGTTTACCTCTTTAATCTTCCAACCAGGGAAGTGAGAACAGTGATCTGGTGAGCATGTCAATGTCAGTGTGCGTATTAGTGCTGATATACACTATCTATTGCACAGTGAGATTCTCAGGAAGAATCATGTACTTTCATACTTAAGGAGTCACTTTTATCCTGTGCCCATCTTCGTGTCGGTTGACCCCTGCCCCTCCTTCCTGGTACCATGCCTTCTGCTATAATTTTTTCCAGTCCGTCGTGGCGCTTGATATGACCAAAATATTTCAGCTTCTGAGAAAGGAGGCTGTTTATTAGCCAATCTTCCTTGATGTTCAGATCTTTTAAGATCTAAACTATTCAGTCTATTCAGTGAACTTAAATATATGGCAGTCCTAGCTATCATACTCTATTTTCAAGAAGTTAGGACTGTAAGTGTGTGTTTGACCCTGAAAAAATGTCCATAGCCTTCAATAAAATATTTAAACTTTGACATTGCTGATAGAAAGAAATAAGTTTTCCTTTGACCAAGAATTAATAGACTAGAAATGTTTAACTCAAAAACATGGTGGAACAGGTGATGAACCTCAGAATAAGTGAAGACAATTGCAGACTCAGATAAAATGCAGACTGCTCAAGTTGATCAGGGATATGGTGAATTTCTGTTGTAAAGAATAATTTGTTTATTCCTGGCAAGTTTTCTTGCTTGAGTTCTTATCTGGATAAGAGGAATCTGATAAGAAGAACCACTGTTGGGTCCCAAGTGAGTCCTCCTTTTCAGGTCTGACGGTATATTTAGCATCATGGGAATGAAATATAAAGACATGTGACCAAATAGAGAGTGGCTGGTTGCCACAGAATTGGCAGTGTGCCTTATAAGTAATGTATGTCTGCCTACTGCTTTGTCGTGACTCCTGCGTCCATCAACTATGAATATCCATTCTAACAACAGGCTGTAGGTGTTGGAACATCTAGTGACTGCGTTATACATTTATTGCATATGTGAGCTGTTGGTTTTGCCTAGACTGTTGTCTGTCTGGTTTGTCATATGGGACAGTGACGAACATTTTTTTTTTTTTTTACTGGCACAGGAGTGGAGAAATTATATTTTGACCAGTTTGTGACTGGTAAGCTTATAAGCCTGACCATAGGGCAGGGCTTTTCAATTTAGTTTACTTAGGTGCCAAAATTGGGAAAATGGGGATCCTCACGGGCCAGATACCCAGTCCCAACATAAAGGAGGGTTAATACAACTGGCAAGTGATCCACAGGTCACTTGTAAGGTCTTTGCAGGCAAGCCATTTGAATAGCCCTGCCTTAAGGTATCGTAAACATACAAACCTTTGATATTCACCCAGCATATAAAAACAGTTTATTGTTTTACTAGTACAACTTATTGAATTTTTCTGTATCCCCTAGAGTAGACGAGAATAAAGCAAGAAGAAGACAACAACATAAAAACAGCTGAGAAAGGAAAAGGTCATGGCAGCGCCAGGATCATACACATCTTCATCATCAGCTCCACTGTCACAGTCACAGCAGCATCCGTACACGATCCCTAGGGATGTCTCAGTGTCCTCAGCCTACTCCATGATGCAGCAGAGTCCAGCACCTTCCCAGATGATGTCCCCAACCAAGGATCTGAATGTTGTTAACATGTGTAGAGCTGGCCAGGAGGTTGTTCATGACATTGTCAGCAAAGCTCAGGATATGTTCACAAGCCTGGGTAAAAACATGCAGGTACAGCAATGTTTAAGTTGTGAATTTTCGTGTAAAAAAAAGTGTTTTTCCATTTTGTGGTTCACAGAAACACCCAGGGGAAGCGTTAACAAAATTCAACTGGTCTAACTTACTTAGTCGCTCCTCTTCTACCCTGGGGTGTAGAGGTTTGCCAGAGATGTCTCTGTCAGCAGTTTTCTTTCTGGCTTTGTTCCATTCCAGTCCTCTGTCAGTTAGGAACTGTTGGATGTTGTCTTCCCAGTGGACCCTGGGTACCTATGGAGGTCTGGTTCCCTGGTTCTTAGCCCCCCATGCCTGCCATGGTGACCGATTTTCTCCCATTCTACATACATGTCCAAACCATCGTAACTGGACTGATCCACTTGTTTTTGTAAGGACTGGGTTTCAAGATCTTGACATATTGTCTGATTGCGAACTTTGTCACCACCTTTCTCAGATATCACATTTCTGAGGCCTGAAGCTGGCTTCTGTGAGCTGTTAATTCATGTGGTCCATGATATTGTTTATAAATCAGCTGAAGGCTTTAGAATGCAGTACTTTTTGTGATTCTAATATGTATCTTCTTCTTTTTTCGCATGAAATTTATTATCTGTATCTGCAATGCTGTTTCTAGTTTGAACTTCACTGTCTTTTGTAATTCACTTAGTGGCTTGTAAAGTTTGTCTTCCACCAGTGTCTCTTGGCTAGAAGTTTTGCCTAGAAATGTATTTGTCTTGGAGATTCTTCTGTACCCGGCCACGCGTTGCTGTGGCATAGTTTGGCTAAATGGAAATGAAAGAAAATAGAAAACGCACGTGTCTAATACAATCATTGTCTGCTCAGATATAGAGATAGTCTTTGATCCCCGCCCACCACCACAACTAAATCCACCTACTACTATCTCCCTCATCAAAGGTTTTTGGAAAAGAAAGACAATGGAAATCGCACGTGTCTAATACAGTTAATGTCGCAATCATTCTCTGCACTGATATAGCGATAGTCTGGTTTTCCAACTTTAGAACACGCACCTTATAATTGTGTCTTTATATTAGTGGTCGTTTAAATGGTGTTATTTTATTAGCACAGTAACAAAAATGGTTATTTGGTTATCACATGCTAAAGCTGTTTGTATTTTTATAGGGGACGGAAGTAAAGCTACAACTGTACTTGTGAATAACAAAGTAAGTCGTAAAAAATAGAAAAGCGGAGGTAGCGTTAGTAAAATATAAACAAATTAGGCAATGAGAACTTGAAAATCAAGTGTAAAGCTCTTTAATTTCTCTTAAATTTAAGTCATTACCCCCTCCCCTCTTCCACCGACTACTGCTCTCTCCCTCTTCGAAGGATTTGAAAATCACTAACTGGCGATATTTTGTTGTTGCTGTAACTGACATTGACATCCCTGTCCATCTGGACTAAAATAGGGAGCAGGAATTGTAAAAGGTAGTGAATAGGGCTAGTGTAATATTTACCACATCATCCTTCAAGTACCAGTACAACTACTAAAATAATGTCACTGCTATCTGTGTTACCATCGGAGTAGACAGAGAGTCGTGAGCCAGAAGATTTGGTTCCGCATGGCTAGTGCTGTCGCCACAGACTGGTCAGGTTAGGATGTATAATTTCACTTGCCGACAGAAGAACGCCATAACCTTACCGGCGGTCTTCACATGAGAGCACTATGGTGTAACAGCCCTGGTGTAACAACTATTACTGCTGCTGCTACTTTAAGTGGGTAAAGCAGTTACTGTGAATTAAAGCTCTCTCAGTTAATAGTTTGCCCCCCCCCCCCCCCCCCCCAAATTCACCGACAACTCTTTCCCTCATTGAAGTAGTTGGGAGAAAAAAAAAACACTTGAAAAGCAAACGAACACAGGAAAAAAACACCATAATTAGGAAATGAACGCCATTGTAAACAGCACAGCTTAAAATTCCAACACAGATGAAATAACTAAATCTAAATGAAAATAAATGAAAATCTATAAAATTTCAGCGTAACCATGCAATCGGAAAGTTTAACAATGCAATCATAAGTATGCGAAATGGTCAAATTTAATTATCAAATGGTTTACCCATTTACTTTTTTTTTTTTTTTATTTTTTTTTTTAAATATTAAGGCAACATGGCTAGTGCTGTCACCACGACAGAGCAGATGAGGATATTATTTTAGCCCGGGGTAAAAAAAAATTTAACGACTACGGATTCGAACCCAGGTCTACCGCACATGAGCCCAGTGTTCTTACCATTCGACCAAGCAGCCACTTAATCGGAACAACGAAAAGAGAACACAACTATTAGACATGTGAGTCCCTACTACTGTGTCGCGATTAAAACACAATTCAAAACCGCAGGAAATTGTTTTCTCGTAGACAGATACTCCAGATATATTAATGAAATAGAAATCGCACGTGTCTAACACGGTTAATGAAGTTAATGTCGCAGTCACTGTCTGCGCCGACGTCGAGATAGTCCTTAATTGCCCCCTCCCCCCCCCCCCAATCGAAGGTTTGAAAAAAAACACAGAAAATAGAAATCGTGTTTAATATGGTTATTGTGGCAAATATAGAGATAGTCTTGTTTGCTGTACCACGACCTACTCTATGTATTAGTATTAGAGAAGGCGTTGGCTGCACGTAACTCGCCGGCGAATGGTAAATACGGCGCATGCGCAATTACTAACGTGACTATAATTAGAAATCACTAAAGTTATAAATATTAGTTGCGTATATTTTGGCATAAATTGTGGTCACCTATCTCTAACAGTGACAGGTTGAATTTCAAACCACGACAGTTCTAAATCCGGTATCACAACAAACATATCCTGAAAATTTCAGCTAAATCGGTTCAGTAGTTTCCGAGTCTATAGGGGTGAAACAAACACACAAACATTGATTTTTATATATATAGATAAGTTCTTCAGTATGACTATTAACAGTTATGAGGTCCGTTGCAGACCTTCACAGTAAGATAAGTCTGCAGTCATGGCTAATTAGAACCAATACTTTAGTGCAGTGATTCCCAAACTGTGTGCTGCGGCTCCGCAACCTCTTCACAGGGGCGCCACTAAATATTTGAAGATACACAAGTTTTTTTTTTTTTTTAATGATACATACGAATAGTCATACTTTTACTTAGGTTAGGGCGCCTTGGAAACATTTTAATTGAAAAAAAACTGCCGCAACTAAGAAAAGTTTGGGAAACACTGCTCAAGTAGATTGACTTCATTGCACTGGGTTTTATCTCATATGCTCACTCATCTAGTGATGATTCCCCAGTCAATCTGCATAAAAAGGGCACTTGATCTGAACAGTGCAGTCTCTGAAATAAAACCATGACCTATCATCATCAAGTAGCTTTGCTTCTTTACATCATGTTAGCAGGGTGCAGTGGTGTGGACCTGCATGTAGTGGTGCCAAACTGCATGTGGTGGTGCCGAACTGCATGAAGTGGTGCCGAACTGCATGAAGTGGTGCCAAACTGCATGAGGTGGTGCCAAACTGCATGAGGTGGTGCCAAACTGCATGAGGTGGTGCTGAATTGCATGAGGTGGTGCTGAACTGCATGAAGTGGTGCCAAACTGCATGAGGTGGTGCCAAACTGCATGAAGTGGTGCCAAACTGCATGAAGTGGTGCCAAACTGCATGAGGTGGTGCCAAACTGCATGAGGTGGTGCTGAATTGCATGAGGTGGTGCTGAACTGCATGAAGTGGTGCCAAACTGCATGAGGTGGTGCTGAATTGCATGAAGTGGTGCCAAACTGCATGAAGTGGTGCTGAATTGCATGAAGTGGTGCCAAACTGCATGAAGTGGTGCTAAACTGCATGAGGTGGTGCTGAATTGCATGAGGTGGTGCTGAACTGCATGAAGTGGTGCTGAACTGCATGAAGTGGTGCTGAATTGCATGAAGTGGTGCCAAACTGCATGAAGTGGTGCTAAACTGCATGAGGTGGTGCTGAACTGCATGAAGTGGTGCTGAATTGCATGAAGTGGTGCCAAACTGCATGAAGTGGTGCTGACCTTGGGCTTATACTGGCTAAGACCTCTTAACATCTTTTTGTGAAACAGGTTTCCTCCTGTGAGGCCTTGCCCTTGTAGAGAGGGCGTCTGCCTGAGAGGTGAGGACTGCAGTCCACAAATAAGACGGATTTATAAAGGGGATGTACCCACAACATTTGTCCTGCAACCACTCTAGCCAAAGTCCTAAAGTGGATGAACAACCCTGGACTTTCTGCTAGAGTTGACCACTGGTGAATACTGAGAAGAAGAAATGTGATCTTTATCAACATGTATCAGTTGCTTTTGTCATCTTTCTATTCTACGACAAAAGGCTGTCAAAATCTTCTCATTGTCTTCCTGTTTTTCTTTCATAATTCTTTGTGGCAAAAAAAAAAAAAGTTTAATTAAAAAAAATTGCCTTTTCTTGATATATTTGATAAAGTGTCTTCCTTTTCTAGCCTCTTTCAAATTATTTCATGCATTAAATGGTCATTAAAACATATCATTTCAGCTCCCAAATAATGTGACTTTTCATGGGCAGATGTACGCAGAGCGCAAAGCCAAACTGGACGAACAGGTGCGGCAGATAACCATGAATTTTCGAAAGCTCCGCATTTTCTATAGCAGGATAAATGAGGCTTGTGAACAGATGGATATGCCAGCTGACCAGGTGTGTATGATGTGAGAATGTTTAGAAAACAATACAATATAAAAAGCTGATACCGCATATTTTTAAAATTGTATGCTTCTGCCTTATGTGCCTCTAGGCATGATGAGGATTCCTTAACACTGCATTTTTATGCTCTATAGCCTATTTGGGGTTATGACAAAACACATCATTTAGAGGTATTTTGAAGAGAGTTAAAAATTAATCTGTTTTTTCTTCTTCAAAATTATGTTAAAAAGAAACACATCATTATAATTCTCTGAAATTCTACCCAAAGAAACCAGAGGGAGAGAAGAAGCAGAAGAAATGTGGTCTCGGACAGTCTTTATAAAAATTTAGAGGGTTCAAATCTATGACCACTGAGCAGACAGCCAAACTCCTAGCTATTGTGTCATCATTAGACAAGCTGCTAGCTATTGTGTCATCATTAGGCAAGCTGCTAGCTATTGTGTCATCAATAGGCAAGCTACTAGCTATTGTGTCATAATTAGGCAAGCTGCTAGCTATTGTGTCATCAATAGGCAAGCTGCTAGCTATTGTGTCATCATTAGACAAGCTGCTATCTATTGTGTCATCATTAGACAAGCTGCTATCTATTGTGTCATCATTAGGCAAGCTGCTAGCTATTGTGTCATCATTAGGCAAGCTGCTAGCTATTGTGTCATCATTAGACAAGCTGCTAGCTATTGTGACATCATTAGGCAAGCTGCTAGCTATTGTGTCATCATTAGACAAGCTACTAGCTATTGTGTCACCATTAGGCAAGCTGCTAGCTATTGTGTCACCATTAGGCAAGCTGCTAGCTATTGTGTCATCATTAGGCAAGCTGCTAGCTATTGTGTCATCATTAGACAAGCTACTAGCTATTGTGTCATCATTAGACAAGCTTCTAGCTATTGTGTCATCATTAGGAAAGCTGCTAGCTATTGTGTCATCATTAGGCAAGCAAAAAAAAAAAAAAAACACACAAAGCTACTGAAGGGAACATAATTTTGGCTCAATTTGGAAATTACAAATCTATGTAATTTAATGAGTGAAATTGTTCAAACTGCACACAAGAATATTCTAGGGTTTAAACAATTAGTTGATAGTTCTTTTTCATCTGTGTCTTTGATAGTTATTAGGCGAACAGCCTTTCCCATCAGCTAATTAAAATGTGCTATCAGAAAACTATGCATTTTTTCTTTCAAATAGTATATTTTGTTGTAATGTTGCAACCCCAAAAACCTGCTTTCTAGTAACTGGTTTAATCACTACATACAAATGAAGCAAAGAATCAACTACTTATAATCTCTTTGAACACGAGGACAGGTTTTTATTGACACAGCCATAAGGAACAAAGTGATGTTATTATAGGTTCATTATGATGAATGCAACAATCGATTTATTTCCCACCCTAAACGATGTTAGGAAATTTAAAAAATATATAATCATAACCACCATGTCTACAAACTATGTAGTTGCAGCAAGTACATTCTTTCTGTCTTTCACTGGCTGTAAACTGTGTCAAAAATTCTGGTTCTTTGGCCCCTCTGGACTTAAGTCTTGTTCCTGAACTTGAATTTTGCATGCACATCTGTTTGACAAATCCGGCTTACTTGTGTGTAGACTGTTGGTTCCTCGCTGCCCGGATTGATGCGCTCTGGTTTCAGAGGACAATAAATACTAGAGCTCTTAAATAGGTTTAGTGGCCGCTGCCTAAAGATATGTCATCAAAACCCATAAAGCTGGAAAAACTGGTTTTCGTGAGGCGAAAGGGTAGAATACATGAAATTTCCCAGAGGGAAACAGATTAATCCACAAAATTGGCCTACAGAATTCAGATGGCAACCAGCACTAGGCTGAAGCAGTTTGGAATCTCTTAAACCCAGCAGTGATGTAGTTTGGGTCTACCGCCTCAAGCATCTTCGGCAGGCAGAGATGGGTTCAGCAGTGGCTATGCTTGGGTGGGACTGAGGGAACCCCATGTGCTTCGAGGCCACTCTCTCCCTAATGAGTTTGGCTGGGCAACAGTATCTCCTGTCTTCTCATCAGTAATTGATGTGGGCTGGCCAGGTGTGCAATGTCTGTCAAGGTTGGCAACAAGTATGCTGGCATTCCAGCCCACCCATCTTGAAACATGGACATGTCCCACAAAAATAGCCAGGCAAGTTAACCTGGTGCAAATTCCAGGTGAAGCTAAATGAGTTGGATGAAGCTGCACATATTGCAGCTATGTTGTAAATAGACACACCACAGCTACGTCCCTCAAGCAAAGAAGAAGAAGATTTGGAGGTGTTGGGTTGCACCCTAATAACCGAGGCTGTTAATATCAGCCTCTACCTAGCACATACCTAGTCTTGTACATGATGCCTTTTCAAAACGTGATGCTGAATGGAAGAGCTGTATAAGAGAAGTAGGAAAAGGTTTGTACCTTTTTTTTTTTGTTATAGCATTCAATATTTATGTTGTCTTATGAGTCATATAGTGTGTTGAATTTATTGTGTTTACTTCTATGAATGCTATGGTTTCATTTCTTATTCTACACTAGACCTGTCAGTACGATGTACGTGATGTTGGTCATTATCATGCCAACCATATTTAACATGCTGTATCATTTCTACTTCCCATTTATGAAGCAGGATTGAACTCAGGGTCATGTGGTAACATAAAAAAATTCTTGGCCTCAGGGAAGATTTGAACCAAGAAGCATTAGGCTTGCAGGCAAATGCACTGGCCAAATAATAGATCTGCTCCCCTCTAACAAGCGTGTCTGACCAAAAGGCAAATATATCGCAGCCCAGTTGTGAACCACAAATAATGTGCCAACCACTTTTTAAAGGGTAAATGTGGAATAAAAATCAGATTAAGAAAGGGTGCTTTATTAATATCCTACCCCAAACAGGGGAAATCCACAGATCATAGGACAGTCTAATATTTCAGGGGGTGGTAGATAGGCTGCAGGCGTAGGTGGGTTGGGATTAGAGCCAGTTCTAGATGTTTTTGGGTCGTTAAAAGCACCAGAAAGCCGGGAAACCCAGTCTTACCACCCTCTGAAATGTTGGACTGTCCTGTGATGTCTTCTAGGATAGGATATTATTAAAGCACAGAAGAAAGCAAGTTGAGGCATCCTACTATCTAACAGATAATTTATTATCTCCATTTTGGTCTTTTCAGGAATTGATTCCCTTTGTTGGCGCAGAAGTAGAGAGGACACTGCCATATTCTGATACTTATCCTTATGTTGTGGAGCAGCACAGAGACATGGTAGAAGTAAGTGGTGGCTAAATATACACACAGGGTCTTGTATTTTTTTTTTAGAACTTGTGTTGCGCCATTTGAGCCATAGCAGGGTAATCATTACTATGTTGTTATTTTTTTAAAATCCAAGTTGCAACCTTCAAGAGTTGCAACCTTGAAAACAATCAATTACAAAACAATTCTAGATACTCATTTCAACCTCCCAGGAAATTTTCAGTTTTTATAGGGGGTGAGAATTATAGGGAAGAGAAAAAGTGGGTAAGAAAGAACAAATAGTTTATGTTAGCTTTACAAAACCGATCACAATAAACAAACAAAGGATGTTGCGGCGATTAGCCTTCATCAGCACATAAAGAACAACACAGTACACATACACATATATGCTCTAACTATTAAGTGACTACATAGGACTCTAATGTACAAAACAAATGATACTCATGTGTGTCCCTGGCGAAAAACTTTGTTCAAGAGGATGACTAGGACAGGTGCGGGCCTATATGACACCAACGCATGGACAGGAAGCGAAAACAGCAGTTTCAGTAGAGCGCAGCTAATGACTGTACCATATTTACCCTGCAGTCTGTAGCAGGTAGTAAGTTCTTATTCTTAGTGTTCACCAGGTCAACACCATCAAAATGTTCTCATTCCACTCCTGGGCTTTTGTCTTGTTCCGGAACTTGAGTTTTGCATGCACATCCGTTTTACAGACCTGGCTTTTATATGCTGACAGCTGGTTCCTTACTATTCAGGCAGATGCAAAGTAAACACCACTAATTAGACTTTTATGACATGCTTGTTAGAGGCAGTGGGTCCCCCCCCCCCCCAATAAGACCCTGTAACTCACACAGGAATCCTTCTGCTCATGCCCTTTGGAAGCAAGTAAACAAATTGGAAATGTGGATAGACAAGGGAATCTAGCCAACTCTCAAAGAGAGGCAAGATGAAAATATAATCAGACTGCTAGTGGTAATATCGGAATTTTAACTCTTTCGCAAGCTCCAGTGGACAAAGTGGTGAAGAAAAGATGGTGCCGTTGGATAGGACACACATCGAGAAAACCGAGAACAATATAACTAGAATGTCTTCACACTGGAACCCACAGTGGCATAGGAATAAAGAAAGGCCAAAAAGCACATGGAGAAGGGAGCTGAAGAATGAAGTTAAAAAAAAAGATAGGGAGGACATAGGGAGAGCTGCATGGGATAGCAAAAGATAGAACGACTTGGCATGAGTTGGGTGAGTGCATATGCTCCTTTGGGAGCTAGAAAGGCAGAAGAAGAACTCTTCGCTGGCTGCTAAAGATGAGACAGTGATTGTATAGCATTGTTCAGAGTGCTGTGATGTTGATGCTTAGCTCTTAAAGGGTTGGTGTGAGACTAACTACCTTATCCTGTAGAAGATCTTATCTGCAGTATCCAACCAGTCGTAAATATACGTAACACAAACAATGTTGCATGAGTGGGTTCAGAGCCTGCCCATGTTTCATTGGGAAATAAAAGACAGGAGTGGGGAAGAAGAGTTGTGTATGCTTGGAGTGGGTTTTGATATCTTGTTTGATCTGGTTTCATTGCAGCAAGTCCGCCTAAAGAACCAGCAGCTGAAAGAGGTCATAGACAGCATGCGCTCCATCATCTGGGAGATCAACACAATGATTACCATGAGGAAGACTGGGTAGTGGCTGCTGTGTTTGTGTGTGCAACACAGTAGGGAAGACTGGGTAGTGGCTGCTGTGTTTGTGTGTGCAACACAGTGGGGAAGACTGGGTAGTGGTTGCTGTGTTTGTGTGTGCAACACCGTGGGGAAGACTGGGTAGTGGTTGCTGTGTTTGTGTGTGCAACACAGTGGGGAAGACTGGACAGTATCTGTTTGTGTGTATATCATGATGAGGAAGACAGGGTATAGTGCCTAGTGTGTGTGTGTGTGTGTTTATGTGCATCACTATGAGGTAGACATGCTAGTGGCTGGTGTGTTTGTGTGTGCGTCATGATGAGGAAGACAGGATAGTGTCTGGTGTATGTGTGTGCAAATCACTATGTAGAAGACAGTACGATGGCTGGTTTATGTCTACTGTCTTTTGTGAGTGCTGTGAACAACATTGTGTGGGTGTGAGAGAGAAGGGGGTGGGGGGCATGATGCATGCACATTTTTCTGTGGGATATTTGCAATGTCTACATTCGTAGACCATGAAGCAGACCAAGAAGCAGATGGAGAGATAATATCCAGACAGACCTGCAAACACTTGGTGTCACCAACTGGAAAGAGAAGGCCAACCAGAGAGATGAATGGAGGCAGGTGATATTTGCAGCAATGAACCTCAAGGGGTCGGAATGCTGAAGAAGAAGAAGACATTTGTAAGCTTATTTTAAGTTAGGAAAATTGGTACTAGGGAAAGTTTTTTGCCTGGAAAGTATAGGTTATCATCAATATGTTGACTGCATTACCCACCGAGTTCCTAGTGTTTAATAACCACTGGTGTAATAAAAGATCATTTACTTTCTGCCAAACTGCAAATTACTATCTTTGTTATACCACCTTTGCGGTGTAGGCAGGGGGATTTACGGCCGTATGGCTAGTTCTATCGCCATTAACTGTGCAGGTGAGGATTTTATTTTGCCCCCGACAGAAAAATCCCCAGCCTTACTAAGGATTCGAACCAGGGTCTTCCTGTGACAGCCCAGAGTTCTAACCGCTTGACCAGCCGCTTCTCTGTTTACTTTCAATTTAGGAAATATTTATGATATATTATGTTTTCTAATGAATTTGTGAGTAACTTGTGTTTTTCAACAGGGAGAGAAGGAGGAGAGAGAGCTGCAGTGAATTTATAATATTCTAATATTTTGTAAGGATAATGTTGGCAAAAACTGTTTTATGTTAGTCTAGAGGATTGACTTCAGTGCACTGGATTTTATCCATATGACTCGCAGCCTGTTTCTGCAGAACAGCTGGCCGCCTGGTGAGAGTGACGTAGAGAGTAGGAACTCCATCGCTATATCCTTACAAACTTCACTTGTGAACTGAACAGCGCTGCCCTGAAACGGACCCACGACCTTCAGAGCAAGGCAGACAGCTCGACCACTTCGCCACGGTTATCCCCACGTGTTTACATACATCTTAGTGTGTATGTTCCTTTGCTGCCATAGATGGGTGAGTGTATAAGGCAGAGCTATTCAACTGGGCGCCCTATGGGCCTCCCCCCCCCCCCCCCCCCCCCAACTCCCCCTGCAGAGACTTAGCAAGTGGTCTTAGGATGACCTGCCTGTTGTATTGTATTGATGGTGTTTCTGTGCTGGAGCTCAGGGCTCTAGACCACGACGACCCCCATTTTCTAACATTTTGAGTAAACTTAGTTAAAGGGCCCCGGTATAAGGCAAAGTTGGTTGAGTTGAGTCAAGAATTGACATCACAGCACTCCGGCATTCCCAGGCATGTTCCGTCCTCATCTTCAGCAGCCACCGCAGAGTTCCAGTACTGATGGTACCGGTCATAATCTGGCAAGGCAAGGTTAGTGAGGGTTGTGCATAGGTTACGACATGCTTGTGTTATTACCTTCATGATTGAGTTTTTAAAAAAAAGGAAAGCTAGATTAAGTCATTGCAAGACTCCACTGTGTCTGAAGTTACCTTCATCTTTGTCCCAGGTCATGCAGGTTTTTTGACAATGAAAGATCTGATGGATTGGCCTATTCTGTCTTAGCTGCAGATGCCTGTCCTATAGATCACATCAACTTTGTTAAAACCCTTAGAGAGATAGCCAGTCAGGCAATTTTTGGGAGCAGCAGGTCCACGTTGCTGCTAAGAACATAAGAATTCGGAATAAAGATAGGCACGGCCAGACATACAAGAATTGTTAATCAGCGTAGAATTAGCACTACTAGTCATGGGTGCTGATATATATATATATATATGTTTCAAGGGAAATCTTTAGTTAGTTAGTTAGTTAGTTAGTTGGGTTATCATCATTGCACTCCGGACATGTCCATAGGTGCTCAGATCCTCCCCTCAGTATGAATCCCAACATCCGATGGCTAATAGTACCAGTTCTATGTTGATTAACAAATCTTCTGACGTGTCCGGTGTGCGTCTCGTTTTTTGCTGTGCCGATCTTAATTCCCAAGTCTGCCATTCTGGCGAGTGATGTGGATTCACTGCCACCAAAGTCCTCTATCCTTCCCATTTCTCTGAGGGCATTGATAATATCAGCATGATCCATAGGCCGTCGGTAGTGATAGCGGATCCAGCCAGCCTGTCAGCTCTTTCATTTCCATCGACGCCTGCGTGTCCCGGAACAAAAATAAAGGTGACTCCTCGCACAGTGGACTTCTGAATTGATTCAAGCCATTGTCTTCGCACTGAACCCTCCGGATCATACTCATTGAATCACTGAGTATACATATGCGGGTGTGTTTTTGTGTTTCAAGCCAGGCAAACGCTTGCGTCACTGCCATCACCTCCATCGTCATGCTGCTGGTTGTCATGGAGAAGGCGCCGTTGGCTTCTTTGACTGTTCTGCCCGCTGAGCGTGCTGTAAATGCCCATGCGCTTCTTCTTTGGCGTATAACGGATCCGTCTGTATAGATTAGTGCATCTGCTTCGTCTGTCTGAATTTCACCGATGAGAGCGTTGACCTCTGCATTAACAGCAACAGGATTCTCTTCTCTACATCGCCTGTTGAGTGTGACAATACAGGAAAATGTACAAATAAACGCCTGAGGCACAGGTATCCATTCTGCACCAGGTATGATGTCGGTTAGGCTGCATATTTGCCTAATAACATCTTCTGCCCGACCTAGCCACGATTTTCCCCTCTTCAGTCTGTCGCCCTTTTCACTAAAAAGCGCTTGATGCAGTGGGTGTTTCTTATCAGCACATATTTTGAGGTATGCCCGAGCCCTCCACATCCTGATCCTTTGGTTCATTGTTGGAAAGTCAAGTAGATACCTCATTGCTCCACAGGATGTGTCTCTTGTACATCCCAAAATAATACGCATGGCTTCGTTTTGCACCTTCTCGAGTCGTTCAATCTGGGTAGCACTGACAGTGAGGATGGCCAGAGCGTATTCAATGGGGGAAAGGACCAGACCGTAGAATAGAAGCACCAGCAGTCTGCTCGATATTGGAAGCAGCCATAATCCTCATTGCAGATAGACCTTTGCGTGCTTTTGTTATCGCATGGTCAACGTGTTCCCTGAATGACAAGCTGCGATTGAACCTCACCTCGAGAAACGTCATAACGTTGGTTCTGATCAATACATTATCACGCATTTTCACTTCTGGTAAGTCCGACTTGACAATGTGATTGTTCAAAGAGAACCATGACACTGCTGCCTTCGAGGGATTGACATAGGCATTGGAACCATCACACCAGGCGGCAATTCGATCGAGTTCTTTGTGCATTGTGCTGGCGATCTCCTGTCTATCACGCCCTCGTCGATAAATCAAAATGTCATCAGCAAATGACAAAGTCCTTCCCTTTCCATTCAACTGCTGCTCAGTGATCATCACCGTATAAACGTTGAATAAGACTGGTGATAGCGGTGATCCCTGTGGCAAGCCTGGACATATCGTTTGCGGTTCTGATGACCAGCTACCACATCTTAGTGCAATCTTTCTCTGGAACAGGACCGCAGCAATCCAGCGGATCAGAATAGGATTGACTTCTAGTTTAAGCAGTAATTGCATTAAATAATCATATGGTACTTTATTGTAGGCATCTTCTAAGTCCAACACTGCCGCACATGTCTCTTCTTTAATCTGAAATCCCTCGTACACATCGTAGGCGAAAACAGCAGCATTGGACCATGTTTCTTTCTTCAATCTGTACCCTCCAAGTGTTGATGGGAACTTATCATGTAGTTCTAAGTAGGTGGTCAATCTTTGTGCGACAATTTTTTCCAAAAGTTTGCCAACAGTATTCTGCATCGAGATGATTCTGTAGCCGCAGATCTTTGAGTGGTCTTTATTAGGCTTTGGTAGTGGAAACAAATAACTATGGAGCCATTCCTCTTGTATCTGGCCACTCTGGATGCTGATATTGAATTCCTTTGCCACGCTTTTCAAATCAGCATTCGACATCATCAGCATGTCATTGTATCGGATGCCGTCAGGGCCTGGAGCAGTGCTGCGCGATTTCTTGAGGCAAGTTCTTAAGGTGTCTGCAGTGATTGTGAAATCAGTGCCTAGCTCAGTGTTCTCGCACAGCATCGACAGTTTCATCTTAACCCCTATTCTTGCAGCTTCGTCTTTTTGGTCAGTTTGCTCCAAGTAGCGCGCAAGAAGGGTTTTTTCCTTTATCAGCATCAGTTCTCTGCCATATCAGGTCTGTACCCTGAAAATCAGGGATACCCCTTGGTCGTGCGGCGCCGTGCATGCTCCGTTGAAGGCGCCAGAATGTCACAAGAGATCCCTCGGAGCAAACGCTCTTGCAGAATTCGTTCCATTTCGCTGTCTTGGCTTCTTTCGCAATTAACTTGAAAGCCACTGTCCGCTTGTTGACCTCATCTTTCAGACTGATCAGGCGTTCAGAAAGTGACGGATCAATTTTCCTTGCCTTTTGCCATGCCTTGACAGCGTTCCTTTTTTCTAGCCACGCTATGTTGACTGCTTCATTCCACCATGGTGGCTGGGCCCATCTCTCCCGCCGTCTGCGATCTGCTCTTGTATTACGTCGTCTGATTTT